ATTCGTAAAATGTCGTCACAAATACTCAATGCCATGTCTTCTTAACGATGTAACCGATGAAATAATTGCAGCGACTCATTTGCGACGATCGTCATCGCAAATATAATTACGACGACTGCTTGTCGTTGCACAAATTACTTTTGCGACGAATCAATTGTAGCGACAAGTTTGCGACGACAAAAGTTCGCTAAAAGTTTATTTGTGATGACTTTGTGTTTTTTACAATGATGTTTTGTCATCATGTCGCGTGAAAACTCCCAAGTATAGGAATTGCACAAGTAATAGAGTGTACAAGAGTACGGATATCGATCCCACGAGGATTGTGTTTAGCTTTTGTTAAATACCAATATTTATTAGCTTCTAGGATTGTTTTTATATATTTTTATAACTAAAAGAAAATAAAAATGCAAGCAATTGCAAATAATCGAGCTAGGACCTCCTAATTTCCTATTGATTGCAAAATGCTAAAGCTGTGCTAAAGAAATGCTACAGCATTCTGTACTAGTTAACCAAACTCAAATTTGTGCATAAAGTTCTTCCGGATTAATTATGACTATAATTCCTCAAACCAATTTCATCATATTCCTATGTGAATCTAGTTCATGAAATTCCAATTTTAAGTTCGGGTTTATTAGGTTATACAAGGTAAACGATATATTCCTATACCTTCTACAAATCAATATATTCCTATATTGAACATGCATCATCCATGTAAAGTCCAACCTAAATTAATTTTTCCAAATCAATCTAAGTCTAATTCTACATTTGATTTCCATCAAAAATAGAAATTAAGCAAGTAAATACACATGAATGAACAAGCACAAAAATACCATAAACAATCCAAAAGCAAAAACTAAAACATCACAATCTTAGTTCAACTAGGAGCCTAGCTCACAAAATTAACTAAATAACATCAAAGGTTTCATCATTTATAAATTACAAAAATAAGAGATAAGAAAAAGAATGAAAAACCCATTTTAGGAGTTGTCACAAGCTCCAAAACCTCTTCTCAAAATCTTCATCTTCCTCCTTCTTGAAGCTCCAAAATGCGCTCTTCAATGGTGTTTACAAAATAAAATTACCTAAATGTAAAACTAAAAATAAAATTCTACAACTCTAAAAATAAATTTTCTGTTTCTTTTTCTTCATTTCTCTCTTCCCCTCTTCTTCTCTGTGGCTGCTCGTCTGAGGGCTGAGAAGAAGGGAGCAAGATGGCTTCCCTCTATTTTTGGCGGCTACCCAAAAGATGGGATATTAATCCCTCCTATTCCTTTGCGTGCGTGAAGCAAGAGAGAGGCACAAGGGTTGAAGGAGCTAGTGGGATCCATGTTGCAGAAGCAGTGAGAGTGAGGGTGCACGCAGTATTGGTGGAGCGTGAAGCAGAAAATTTGGCTCCTTTTTCTTTGTACTTTTGACCCCAGTACATTTTAAACTTTTCAATTAAACCCCACTGTTACACAAAATTAAATTACTGAATGAGGAAAATAATTATTTTGAAAGGAAACTAAATAAAAATAAAATAAAATAAAAATACCTAAAACAAATAAAAAATAAAATTAATAACAAATGAAATAAAAATAAGGTAAAAATATTAAAAACTAAATAAATTCTCAGGAACAAGCATACTTTTTAATCCACAAAAGAGGCTGAATAACTCCATTTCATGGAGTTATCACGTCACTAATAGCCCTATTTCTTGTAGTGAGTGTCGTCACAAAAGTCTTTAAAACCTTTTGCGACTAACCCGTTGTCGCTAGTAATGTGGACTATTTGCGACGACACTTTAGATATGTCGTCACAAATAGTATTTTCTTTTTTTTCCGTATTTTCCTAATAATATTAATTAATAAAGATATAAATTGAAAGAAAATTTAATAATAAAATAGAACAATATAATTGATATAAAATAGTCAACACAATAATAAGATCAGTCTTAAAAAGTAAATTAATCGATAAATACTACAAAGTGTTGATAATAAAAAAAAAATAAAAACATATATTTTAATCTCCTAAATTAGCACTATCGTCATCCTCGTTCTCGTCCTCATCTTCTTGATTGATATAGAGGTTGTTCAGTCTCTGAAACTATAAAAAAATAGAAATAACGAAATTTGATTATATAGAATTTACCAAATAAAAAATATCGTTCATGTGTTATAGAATATAATACCTGACTGACAATGGACCGGGAGTCTTGTCGGATCGGTGGAGGCTATGATCCTCCTTCAGATAATCTAATTAAATTTTATTAAATTCTATTAATATAATTATATTTTGTTAATGAAATTTTAATAAAATTTTGGCAGCATAACGACTTATTTTTCTTATTATCCAAAAATCTAAACCTGCAAAAATCTAGCTTTTAAAGGATTTCGGCACACCAAAACTGCAAGATGTGTCACACAGACAAGTCATCAAAATTTTTAATCATAACCTAAATCAAATTACAAGCATATCTCATAAAATAACATCCTAAAAAGTTCACACACAATTTATACTAAATTTCAGTAATCTCAAAATTCATAATCCAAAACTTAATATCTATACTATAAACTTCAAATTATATACTAATTCTAAAATCTATAAATCAAAATTCAAAATGTAAAATCTATAGTCTAAAATTCTAACAACAAAAAACCCAAATATATTTTAAACTAAGAATTACAATAAATAGATAAAAAAAAAAACTTACAAAGTTGAAACCCACTAAAACGGGGGCTGAAAACGGCGAAGGTGGGGTAGCGGCGGCAGCTAAGGAGGGTGGGGAGGAGAAGGAGTATTTTTTATACTTCTTTTGATGAAAAAACACTGAAAACGATTAAAGTTATGATAAATGTTGATTTGGTGAGGATATTGAAAAGAATAGAGGGGGGTTTTGGGGTTTAAAGTTGGAAAGCTTGGGAAAGGCCGAGAGAGAGATCAGAAAAAATAGAGGAGGAGGCTCTAGTCGTGGGAATATAGATAGAGTTTTTTGCGACGACAAATAACACTATTTACGACGACAATGTCATCGCAAATATAACTTATAAAACTATTTGCGATGACATTTGTCGTCGCAAATATAACTTAATTTTTTTAATATTTATACTAATGTTCTGGAATTATTATTTGCGACGACGTTGTTCGTTGTTGTCGCAATTAATAAATGAATTATTATTTGTGAGACAAGTGTCGTCACAAATAATTCTTTATTTGCGACAAACAGTCGACGCAAATATTATTATTTGGGCGGCAAACGTTGGCGCCAGACAACATTTGCCGCCAACTACATATTTGTGGCGACTTGTACATTATTAGCGATGATAGCATTCTCTTGTCATACGAATACTATTTACGATGTTAAGTCATCGCAAATAGTTAATTATTTGCGACGACATTGTCGTCACAAATAAGTTCATCGTAAATAGAGTAAATTGTGGTAGTGTATACTCTTAATTTTAAAGTGTTGTAAATATTTATATCTTAAGATTACATTTAACAGGCAAAGTTATACTTTTTTTTTTTTTTTTGTCAATACTCGATTTTCACATTTAAAATAATAACCAAATTAAATATCTATATCTATGTGCATTTTCTCTAAATTAAGTTGATTCGAAATCTTCTTAGGTTCCACATTTTTTATTTCAAGTCAAAAGTTGGACCATTTCGTGATTTGTGTGATATCCTTACGCAAAGGCATCTTCTCTACCTTTCTTAATTTATTCTATGTCCCCAAGGGGGCAATCTATATTAAAATTGTTCATGGGATCCCACAACTATTTTATTATTTCTTTTCTTTTTTTAACTTCACATTTACTTTATTACAGATCAAGTAAATGCAAGTAAACTCTAGTATCTTCGCTAGTTAGTAAATTTTAGTATTTGATTAATCCATGACAAAATATGCATTATTTTTATTAAAAAATAACGCATTTGTGTAAAAGGTGAACACATGATCATATGTAACTTACAAAGAAATCATATGTGGAGAAAATTAGGGATAATCTTCCCGTCCTTGATTAATTTCTTTAATTTTATGCTATTCTCCTAGAATAGTTTTCTTACAAGTCAATATATGATAAGAGAAAGTAACGTTAGAAATCTTTTAGTGTAAAAACTGCTTCTCTAGAAAGGGCATATATCGATCTAAAGTTTCCAATAAACTATATCTAGATGAAAATGCGCTTATCTGGCCCGAATATAATAAGATTTTTGAGAACCTGCTCAAAGTGTAAATTAGGTTGCTTATCATTTTTGAAGTTTAGTTAGTCATGTGTACTACTACTTTGATTAAAATATTAGGCTTAAATTTTTCACAAAAATGGTAGAAATTCAACTTTCTAGAAGCAGTATTCTTCTAATTCACCAATAATGACGATGTTGTCATCCCATCACTCATGTCTTTTCTTTTGTGAAGTTTTTCACTATTTTTTCTATTGAGCAGATTGGAATTCTCTTTTTTCCTTGTTAATTTGGATCGGAGCTTCACCAAGAATGCGTGGAATGGCGGGCTTGGGATGGGTTGTGCGGCATTAGAACAAGAACTTAGTTCATCGTGGCCACTTCTAAAACTCAAGTAACGGGTTAATTGTGTCATGAGAATGTGAGAGGTTCCGTCGTGGAATTTCATCAAAGGACGGAATGGCCTTTCCTTTCATCCCACATATGGTAATGATGCCAAAATGGTGCCAAAAAGTCATTAGTACTCCATGCTTTATCCAAGCAAAAGTTCTTTTTCCTCGCCTCTCGTCCATGGTCCATTATACCCAACCAAACATAGCCTAACTAATACTTTCATTGTTTCTTTTTAATTATTAGCTGTTATATGATCAACCTCTCTGTATTTTAGAGAAATTTGTAATTATAGCATTTTTTTTATATAGAAGTGTTTTTATTCAAGGAAAAAAGAAAGCAAATAACAATATATCTTAACAATATACACACAACTCTCTTAATCACTCTCTTTCCAATATCTACTATATATATAGATTAAGGAAAAACAATCAACTTGCATTAATATGCTACATGAAAGGAAATAAGAGAAACTCTAACCCTAAAAGCTTCCAGAGAAATTGAAAGAAATCTGCACATGCTTCCTGCATATAAAATAACGTTAAAACTTATAATCACTATGAAAATTTGTACTTAAATAGAAGCTGCATATATATAATTACCTTGCAATAATTTGCTTTATGTAACTTCATGGCCTGAAAGCACGGAATTAGAAAATATATTGAATTTGAGTTTATACAATTTTATTTTATTTTTGCTTGAAAATTTATGTTTGACAAACCTGAATAAGTAACCATGTGGCGGGTAATGAATGAGCTGGCAACATTAAATTAAGCTTGAAAGCCTGCAAGAAATCGTAAAACGTACTTGACAGTGATCAAATGCTTTTAAAAATTAAACGTTCTCAAATAAATTACATACTAATTCACTCTTAATAAATTAAGTGAAGACAGCCAAATAAATTATTATATAATAACCACAAAACGAGACTTGAAACATATGAAATTGATTTTTATACACATTTAAAAAAACAGTAAATTAATGCTTAAATAAAAAAGGGCATAAAATAAAAGGAAAAAGATTAAAGACATTATTTACACAATTAGAGTCTAAGATATACAGATTTCTTTTAGAAAATAAAATAAGGAAAAGAGGCGATTAGTATCAAAGAACTCGAAAAAAGCCCAACTAACATTGAGATATTTATGCAAATGTTTAGAAATAAGACGTATATGATAAGCTTTTATGATGAACAACTAATTACCTGAGGCATGTAAATAGCTGCTGCTATAGCTCCAATATAATTTAGTAATAGAATTCCAGTACTAACGGCTACAATATTTTTATGTCCATATGTCACCGTAAATGTCCATATGTTATGCCTGTAATATCATTAAATATTGCTTTAAATAAACCTGAATATGCAAGCTGAAAATGTCTCTGGATCAACATATTTATTGTAATTTAAAATGTCAAGACTTTTGATTTCAATAAATATGAAGTAACTTGAAAATTAATACAACTTACTTCAGGTCACCTTCCACGTCTGTGAGATCTTTTATGAGACTAATAGGCACAAAAAACACCGTAACAAAGGTAGTGATGAAAACAATTGAAGGGCTGCAGAGCAAATTAATAACCAGACATGAGATGCTGTGAAAAGTTTAATTATGTGTGTGCATGAAATCGGAAATAATAAGTTAAACTTGTCGGTTAATAGTAATATAAAACTGAAAATTTTCATGTTCGGAAATTAATTAAATAGATCAAAATGAAAGTTCTCATGTTTGGAAATTATAGTTAAATATATGTCGTATATTTATTTCATGTCATTTAAACTAGATTTTACTCAACTCGTGTAAATTAATCGTATATGGGAAATTAATTACCAAATAAATTTGAAAAAAAAGAATGAGAGTGAAAATTAATGAAAGTGAGAATAGAGTTACATTCCAAATAGAAATGATAAGTTACCAACGAAACCTGATGCGATTAAATTAGTTAGATGAATAACATAAGTCAGCAACTCACGACCACTTTGGTAAGTCACGATAATGTAAGCTACAAGAATATCATACTCTTAAAAAATTATTTATGCCAACTAAATTGCAACAGAAATTGCAATAGAAGGGTAAAGTGAGAACAATTCAAAATTTAAGGGATAAAGTGAGAGTTTTTAAAGTTCAAGAGGCAAACTGAAAATGACCCTAAAGTTCAGGAGCACTAGTGATTATAATCCTACCTCTTATGAGCAACTAGAACTGATGATAATTTTGCTTAATCATCCACTAAATCTGAAAGCTATCAACAACCATTCGAAGAAAGCATATTACAGTTGTCCGATCTAACAAGAATGGGCAATTAAACATGGCATTTGCCTGTGATAATTAACACCCACAAATGGTGAACGTATCAAGACATAAATGTTATTAGCACTGTTGTATCGAATGGTCGACTACGCTAGACTTCTTTTGATCTACATATCAGTATTTTTTATTCTAATTTAGGTCTCTGCCTTGCTAGTTTCTGTTTCTTTTCCCTTTGAGTTGTTTTGATTGTGGTTTCAAGCTTAAAGGTGTCATCCTAATTAGGATATTTTAAACAATTTTGATATCAGTTACCTTCTTTTTTCATTTACTTGAAAAAATTCAACATCCCCAAACAAATCATTATATGTGTGCTTTCTGGCATTCCTAAGTATTAATTTCAAGGTAAAAATAATATTTCTAAAATTAAAAATAATATTATCTATTGCAAGTTAATTAATTAAATAAGGGATTTTTTTTCTTGCTCTGAAAATAAGGGATTTTTTTTGAAAAGTAAAGAAAAGGATGAAAGTAGAGTGATTATGGTAATTTGGACCAAATAATTGTTGAAAAAACATTAGAAAGAGGAACATAATTACATAAATACTAAATACGAGTTTTTTATTGAGTGAGTGTACTACATAAATATTATGATATGATACACAAATAATTTTTCAAAAAAAAAAAGATCGAAAAAAAATTGTTATGCATACCTCCAAAATGGAAGTCCAAGAGAAGCGGTGGCAGCATAGAATACACCTATATTCTGAATGATACCGGTGATCTGCACAAATACACGTACATATATAATATATATTATATACACATGCATGTATATGTAAGTCGCTTTTATTCTCCAATCTTTCTCTTTTCCTTCAGATAAAGATAGGTGGCAAACTTATACAAGCAAAGAGAGAACTTAAAGACAGTGCAGACATTAGAACAAACAATAACTTCGCAAAGTACACTCCCCTATTTCGCAAACAAGACCTAATTTGGATGTCAACATTACCTTCTCTGTTTTGACTTAGAAAAAAAAAAAAAAAAAAAAAAAAAAAATTTTTTTTTTTAAAAAAAAAAAAAAAAAAAAAAAAAAAAACGTATTTGTTATTGTAACAAAACATATAACAATAGCCGCACAAAAGTGTCTCTCAAGCCTCTAGATTAAAGTCTCCAATTATGTGTCACTTTCTGTTTTTGTTTAGAAACTTGAACGAAGATGCACGCCATATTGTTTTTGAAAATTAACATATTTTAATTAGCTTTTCTTGGAACTTTTTAACTTTTTAGAGAAGTGTTGTACTTCAAATGGCATGACAAAATTATAAATTAAAACACAATTTCATTACGAGAGCCAGGGTTGGAAGAAATGGAAGAAAATAGCAATACCAAAGGAATCACGATTACTGTTGCAACAGAAGATTCCTTGAATCTAAAGGGAGGAGTAGAATAAAAGGTGCCTAGTATAAGACCAAGACAGTAGAGAGAAGTAGTGATTAGGTCGGCGTTCATCAATCGAAGAATTAGCAGGCCAACAAGTACATCAAATATCATTAAAAACCATGCTTGTTGTAGTGAAAGTTCCCCAGCTGGTATAGGCAAATATGGTTTGTTCAACCTGAAAATATAACATATAAAAACAAAATAAGCTAATTGCAGCCAATATTTCTGAAAAAAGTATAATCAAACAACTAAAATAAACTGAGAAAACTAAACCCACTTTAATCTAATTGTTAAAGAATTAGTGGAAACGCACGTCATGAACGTAAATAATAAACCGAAGGCTCAGACTATATGATTATAACCTTTAACACGAAGATGGACAAAATAAACTCTTAACTAGGCGTCCTCTCTTAGGCTGGTAGGAATATATGCACCGAAAATGGCAGTTCAGAGGTTATTTTTGAGTTCTTTTTCATGTTATTTCGATTTCCAGGCTGCTTAATTAATAAATGAAATTTGTTTTTTAATATAATCAAACTGAGTGCTATATACACAAATAAAACGATGTTATATAGACATACTAAAACACATGTAATATTTAGTATTATAATGATGCAGTGGAATGAAAAGAACATGATTTTACCGGCTTAATCCAGACAAAAAATGGGACCTGCAATCTCAATCTACCTAAAAGAACCCCATAAAGAGAAAATCCTCAATTTGGAGAGAAAATCCAAGTCTAATATTCAATTCTCCAATATTCAAAGTCTCTTAATAGAATAACTAAGTGGTTATTTATAGCTAACTTAGAAAATGATAACAAAATACAACTAAAATAAATAACATAATAATAACAAAACTAAACTAAATTAGAAAATTAGAACAAACGACAATAAAATATAAAACAACTGCATATATCTAAAACTCTCTAAATCAGTTCACCCCGCCCATAAAAAGAATTCAACCTCGAGTTTGATAGAAGCACTTGGAGCGAAACTGATAGTGACAAAAGACTCCCGCTTAGACTTGTGGGATTGATGAACCCCAATTGAATAGCTCTTACATACCACATCGAAACCCACAAAGGCACCAAGGCAATGCTCCAACAGAATGTCAAAATATACCAAACCATTAGCCGTTGACACAGCCTTGCCCACTTAGTCTTGAAATTTTCAAATCGAACTCCCATAGTACCAATCAATTGACCAATAAAATTGATTTTCTTACTTGGCCCACTAGCTTATCTCCATCAAGTGTCCTACAATTTGTAATTTCATCTCCCAAAATTTCCCAAGAAGAGTTTTTATTTTCCTCAAACTTGAACCAATTAGCCACAAAAATCATCATCTTAATAAGAGTAATTGGCTGATATTTACCAAAAGTGGGTCTCTGGTGAAAGTCGAATTCGGTAGGAAACCAAGTGCTGCTCTCGTAAAAATCACGTTGATCAGTTAATTTAATAAGATCATGAGCCTGATTTTGGCCAATTGGCATGCTGGGCTTATTAAAATGATTTAAGGGATGACTTTGATCTGCAGGTCGCTGGAACTACACATAGCTGCCATTATTCTTCAGGTCTTCGCCGCCGCTGTAGTGGGTCTCGGCGCCAATGACGCCGCCTCGACGGGCTTCTTCTCCTTGTCGGAGTTGGACCAACTGGGCCATCACAATCTTTGGGTTTTGTGAGAGAAGTTGAACATCAATTGCTATTCTTCACGTCATCGCCTGCATTGGCAAAGTGGCTCGCGTCGCTATTGGGGTTGCCGCCCTCGTCGCTGGAGTCGCCGCCGATGCAGGGTCGGACGTCAGGGTTGTTTCGGTTGATTTGCTGAGGTCACTAAAGGTTGGTGAAGGTCCAGAGAGTCTCACGCCGGCTGGGTTTTCACGGTGGTACTCCTTTTTTGCGGAGTTGTCCTCGCTGCCCGTGTCACGGCTAGGAGCACCATCCGACGAAGTCTGCCAGTATTCCTTTATGGGTTCTGAGCTTTAGGGACGTTTATTTTCTATATTCATTATTGATTCTGAATCATGATTCATGGTTTTTTACAGTATTTTTTCTCACAAAAAATACACGTAAAACAAGAATGATTCTGAATACATAAATTAAACGTCATCTACTTTTAATCCACTTCTTCCCTTCAAGCTCTCTTTGCTTCTGCAATTTTTCCCACCAATAAACAACGTATCCTCTGAACTGAGAAGCTACCAACAGAGCTTGGTTTCTCACCTCTACTTCTATGTTGTCAAAGAAATCATCCACAATTTCAAGCCAATCACAAAATTCCCTTTTATCAAAAACTCCTGTGAAGCTAGGGATCTTGAATTTTAGTGATGAATCTTGGTTTACGGATTTGGAACTTGGTTGTTTAGAACTTGGTTGATAGTGGCGGCAAGGCTGGTGAACCCGGGTTTGGGTGCGTCGACGGTGCTGGTCTTGGTTGATGGAGGTGCTTTTGGTGATTATGGTGGTAAGGGTGGTGGTCTTGGTTGTAGTGGTAATACGGTGAAGGTGGTGATGGAGAATGGTCGTGGTGGTGGTGGTTTGGATGATGGTGGTGGCAGTGAAGTTGTGGAGACGGGGCTGTTGGTGGGCACTCCACCGTCGAGCTCCCTCCGGTCGAATGAATCTCCACGAAGTAACTCCAATCACTGATCATGTGCATAACCTCCCGAGAAAAATTGAGAGCTCTGATGCAGCGAAATGGGAAGAACACGATTTTATCGGTCTAATCCGGATGGAAAACGGGACATGTATCTTAATATATTTAAAAAAAACCTTATATAGGGAGAAAATCCTCAATTTAGAGAGGAAACACAAGTCTAATATTCAAATTTTAAATATTTAATACAATAACTGAATAGCTATTTATAGTTTATTTAGAAATCGATAACAAAATATAACTAAGGTAAATGATATAATAACAACAAATTTAAGCTAAATTAGAAAATTAGAATAAATGACAACAAAATATATGACTACTTATATCTAGAACTCTCTACATCATACACTTAAAATTGAGTGTTACACATAAATATAAAAAAGATGTTACTCAGGATACGAAAAGAATTACGTCTACTGGACTATATGAGTGCCCAACTTAAGACTCTTCGTACACACACGGACGGAAAAGCGCATGTATCTTTCAAATTCTAGCTCAATTTTGAGAAGAAAAATACTTCTTACAAACTTCAAGCTTGTAGTGGGTCCGACTTCAAATTGAGAAAATCTCAATGTCTTCTCTCTTTACGTTGATTACAATATATACGCGTGCATGCGCGTTTATGTATCATTTATTTAGATTTTTTTCTTCATCTTCTTTTAAGCATTTTTTGACTTTGGCGTGTAATTCGTTTTCTTTTCTTTTAAAAAATTCATACTTGCTCATAAAACAAAAGAAAAGAAAAGCACGAACCTGTCAATATCGACATCATATATCTGATTGATGCCATTGTAATATGCATACGCAAGCATTACAGCAATTAGGCCAGGAAATGCCTTAAACAGCACAGACCATTTAAACACCTGTGGGTTCTCAACTAATACTCTTGCAAATATACATCTGCCAGAGAAAAGCGAGATTATTCATGGTCAAATATGAATTACATCCATCTAATAACTGTGAATGAATCGTAAGCGTATAATTTCGTGTATTCATGTAAATATTTTTTTTTTTTTTTTTTTTTTTTTTTTTTTTTTTTTAACTTTCTGGTTAAAGCTTACTTACATGGTGGATATAATTGCTTCATGCTGTGCGTAAGGCCTTGTAAATTTGTAGGAAGCAGATCCAAAACGTAAAACTTTGTCAAATGCCGAATTCGGACTAGCTGATTTAAATTGAGCATCGGTAAATACCGGAATATTGGAATCATCAGATTCAACTTGAGCGCATGCCTACGACCATATGTTTCACTATAAGTTGAATAGAAAGCTAATTGCACCAATAAACAAAGGTAAACAAATCACAAGAGTAACTACAGCTCATTAGCCTAATAAAAAAAATGCTAAATGTCTCTGAAAAATCAGCAAGCCCTTCAATAAGTAGCGAAAAAACGTTTTACTAATCTAGTACCGAGTAAAGGCTCTTCTGATTGTGAAAATTAATAATATTTTGGCTCTTTCGACTTCATTTTCCAACAACAGTTACATTACATTCGCATTGTTGAAATGCGGCTCAAAAAATTGTAGTGAAGTTTTACAAGAAAGAGCAGAGTTAAGAACAAAGTGTTGCTCATGAAGAGAAGGTCACGACTTCTGTTGAGGTTTCTTGGGGCAGGAAGATATTGGTATAACTACATGGCTCCTCGAAGGTCGCTTGTTGTCTAGAAAGCGTTTCATGGATCTCTTCCGGAAGAAACTGTTTTGCAAAAGAGAGGTTTTTTTTTTTTTTGCTTTAGTTTGCCGTTTTTGCTACAACATGGGGAACCCATTTACCATTTGTTCCTTGAGCGTGATGTGGCTAAAAGTTGGGATTGAATCTTAGAGATTTTTGAAAGGTGGTTATTTATTGCTGGCAATGTTGAGAGATGATTTCTTGTGCTTTAGAAGGAGATTTTGGTTCTCAAGTTTTCTGTGTATAGATTTCTACAGTTATTACTTGTTTCTGGGCTATTTGGTCTATGAGAAACTGAGTACGTAGTTTTTGATAATGTGGCCCCTAGTTTTCGTTTCCCTTGGCTGGCAGTGCAACAGGTGGTTGTTGAGGCTGGTACTTACTGTCAAGGCCTTTGGTCTTAAAGTTGTGCCTAGAAAGGGTCCTAAGGTCTTTTATGTTGTCTTAAGGACTCCGTGAAATTGAAGTAAAGCTAGTACAGATGGGGGCGGCTAAGAGGTTAATGGTCTAGTTAGGGGAGTGTAGTTTTTCGCAATTTTATGGTTTTTCTTACGAGCTTTTCAACATGTCCTAGGGTGAGAGTTTAGCTATTGAAGCTAAGGTGTGGACTATTAATATGGCCATTAGATCGGCTTGGAGTAAAGGGTGGGGCACCTTTGTATAGAAAGTGATTCTGCTTGTGCAGTTCGTCTTTTTTGGCATGTTTATTCCATAGTTCTATGGTCATTTCAGAAAACTTGAATTGATGCTTTTTTTTTTCTTTTTTTGAGGGAGATTGATTATCTCTATAAGACTTACTCTATAGAATTTGTTATTTCTCACTCTTTCAAAAAAGTGAATTCGGTGATGGTTGTTTGGTCAATTTGGATCGGTGTAGTTTCTGGGAGTTATATTTGGTGGTAGAATGCTGCATGTTTCGTTTTAGAGAGCTTGGTTTAGATTATCTAGATTATCTAGATTTACAGAATATAGATTCAAGGCTTGATTTTGTTGTTTTCTCATTTCTAACGTAATTTTCCCTTTCTTTTAATAAAAGATTACAAGTCGCTGACTTCTTTTGATAAAAAATATAGATAATTTCAATTTGGTACCCTATATTATGGCGAAATAGCTTTTAGTATTCTGTATTTTTAATAATTGTAAATTAGTATGTCTACCTTTTAAAATATCGATTTTGTACCCTAAGGCTGGTTTTTTATACATAAAATGTTGAATTTGTCCTTTATAATAATTTTTAATTTGGTTGACCTGAATTTACGCTTTTAAGATTTTTAAAGGCAATAAATGTATGGTTACAAGGATAAGGTTTTTCTCAAAACGTTTAGTAAAGAGTAAATTTAGGTCAATCAAATTAGAATTTATGAAAAAGGACAAATTCGATACTTTATGTCCCAAAAAAGGTCTCACTGTACCAAAAACATATTTTTTAAAACGTTGAGATACTAATTTAAGATTATTAAAAATATGGAGTACTTAAGGATAACAAATTGAAATTATCCAAAAAATATATAAATGTTATCAAGTTCACTAGTTTTTAAAAAGAAAATTTGTGTTTCTGCGAAATTTATTTCATTTTCTTTTCTTTTCTACTATGGTGACAAAACTTGAAACGAGAATTTGATGGGAGGAACGATTTTAGCTTATGGATTAGACCATTTTTAATGTAAATGCTATTGCCAATTATATATTTAGCATCAAAAAGTGTAATATGGTATGTTATTTTTATTTTTACTCCAATGCATAATGCTATTTGAAATGCTAGATATACTGTTTCTCATAATCATTGAGCTTTGAAAATTATAAAAGTAAACTTTTATTTTTAAAATAATTAGAAAATGTGAAAGTCGCAATGATTGCATGAAAAAAAAAAGCATTTCAACCAATAGCAATTAAATGTCAAATTTCTCATGTGCTATACTTGGTAGAAAATTTGTCATAAAGTATAGTGTATGATAAATTTGACACAATAAATAACATTATATTAGAAAGTATTTTTTTCACTTAAATGATACATTTGTAATTAACACATCAATTATAATATTACATTAGAGATGCTCTGACCTCAGCAAGGAGTGCTTAAGGTGCTAAAGGGTAAACATGCTCTACCGAGGTAAACATGCTCTACCGAAAACAATGACCGGTGATCATGAAAGGAAGATACGTGAGCTCAGGCAAATAGTGAAATTCAGTTATCTTTTTTGTTTTGTGATGCTCTATACAAAGTCTACAATAAAACATTGATCATTGGTTTGTGGCTGTGGCTTGCAAGTTTCTACAGTATTTTCTTTCGCAGAATTTGAATTCTGGTTCAAACCACCTGGTTTGAACCCACCAAGTCCTAAATAATTACAAAAAATGCATTCTAGAGACACTATGATAGAAGATATCAAGGCATCTATGAATTCAAAAGAATGATGGAAAAAGGTATTGGAAAAACGGAATGAAAATTAGTCTAATGGATTGATTTCAAGATATAGAACCAAGGACAATGACCAATAAAAAAACAGAGGCCAAGTCCAGATTAAAGTTTCAAATATCGAGAACGGGCAAAAGTCATTATTATCACAAGCTAGGGCATGGGAGTTGACATTTCATTTCCATGCACATATAATATCTGATGCATATCGAGAACGGGCAAAAGTCATTATTATCACAAGCTAGGGCATGGGAGGGGCATTGGAAGTCTGAGTACCCAAAGCTCAAGAATATACACAAAGGGAAGGATCATCACATGATAATTGAATTGAGTTGGTGGCATTTTGGAGCAATGGAAAATCATCACCTTGCGACGCGGACGTGATAGACATTGAAAAAAAAAATGAAAATAAAATATTTTCATATATCTTGCTGAACCCGGAAAGATCGGGTGAGATCCAACATGAGCGGGTCAAATCCCTTCTGATCTAGCTGTGGGACCTTGTGACGGGATGTTCTCCGATGAAAGAGAGAGCAAGCGAGAGGAAGAGAGAGGAAGTGAAAAGAAAAAGAGAGGAGAGAACAATAATATAAGCAATATTAATTCTTCAAAAATGTTTATAGACACCACTATTAAGCACCATCACTTATAGAAGATGAGTTCCACCTGTAGATCTCACATTGCGGGACTCACTTTCTATTAGTGGATGGTGCTAAGCACTATTGGTGCCCTATAGCATTGCTCTGAAACCTTAGAATCCCTTGTAATCACAATTAATTTTGCATACGCTCATAAATGTTTAAATGAGAGGGGCACAAATCCAAACACTAGTATAAGAAAGAGATAAATCTAAATAGATTGCTAAAGACACACAGATTTCTTTCTTTCTCGCTAAAAAATAAACATCGCCTCTAAATGTAAGTTGCAAAAGAAATAAAGTATACCCGGAAGGAATTATGCATATATCGGCCGAATAGTAAGCATTTTGAGAACCTGCTCTCCCCATATAAGTTCCTCTTCCGCACATGCAGGATGAATTTATGGGTGGGGCATTTTGTAGGAAAGATGGCAGATTTGAAATTTTTGGTGGTGGACCTATTATGATCATGAAAGGTGGCCTTGGAACGTCGAGATATAATATTAGCCGGTACTACTCTAAGGGATGAGTTGGAGATTACGAGCGCCATGCATGTCAAAGTGAAATTAGTTTGAAACAACAAGCTGGAAAGTAAAGGACAAAAGAGAACGTCAAAAAAGTGTTGAAACAAAATGCTACAATTGCTTCAAAATTTATAAGAGCATGGAGAGAATATTACTGCCGTTCCTTACAAGTTTACGGCCTGTCTTATCGTGTTAAATTTCTTCTATGATTATTTCACCTGCCTTGCCTTTATAACTATATATTTTTGTAATTAGCTATCTTATTCTTGGACTATATATGACTATATATATTCTGGACCCTGCCGCCGGCTTGCGGACTTCACTATGAACATTGAATGTGGAAAGTTCTTTTTTTTCTTTTTTTGTGGTTGCATATGTCTTCTACCCTAGTGATCACAATTCGGCATATTCGATATTTTGTGATCTTAATGGAGGCGACAATATGCAATATTACAGAAGAAGTCGTTATATATGCATACAATTATTGTTATTATTATTATTAATCTTATCATTATATTTTCCTGTGTGTCCTTCATAGGATCAATATTATATGAAGAATTCACTAAAATGAGTAGTGTTAGGGATACGATAGTTGGTGTTCCAAATGATAAATTTGGCAATATTTGATCAGTGTAAAAGGTACTCTCCAATTTCTTTAAAAAAAAAAAGCTCTCTAATGCAGTGCCATTTATCGTGCCAAATTGATTATATATGCTACATTTTGTGGTAAATTTATAACCAAATGTAGCATATGACATATTGGACATTTAATTAATCATTAATTGGTATGTTTAGTTTTTGTTTCTAATCATTGCAACATTTGCCTTTTTAAATTATTTTAAAATTAAAACTTTACTTTTACAGCTATTAAAGCTTAATGACTACAATAAAAAATAGATTGTGTATTTATATGCATTAGAATATAAATGAAAATGATAGTATTTTTTGATTTTAAATATACAATCAACATTAATTATTATTTGTATTGGAGATGGTCTAAACTATTTATTTTGCAGCTAGCACTATTTTAAGTTGCGTTTTCTATTGGGCGCTCTGCGCTCATGATGGTTTTTGTTGTTTTCTAGTTGTCTCGTTGTTGGGGGACACATGGTAATTAGTGCACGTATTACATTATGATCAACAATGTTTAATAATTTTCTTTATTGTGGTATGGCATGTCACTTTCACAGATACATGTTAGCTGTTAAGAGGATTAATTCATTTTTCAATTTTGAATTTCAAGTTTTGTTTTCACTCTTTATCTTTAGAGGCTCCTTTGCTAGGTTATTTCTTCCTTTTTTTTTTTTTTTAATAATGCGAGAATAGGAGAACTACATCAAATTTACTAAAAATATACCAACTAGGTTAGTACCATCAGTAAACCATCCTTTACTGGACCCTATCCAAATATCAATAAAATTAAATAATAAAAATAATAAAGAATTCAAAGGGAAAAGACACAGAGCAAATGAAAAATAAAATAAAATTTCAGGACAAAAAATAAATAAATAAAAGACTAAATGAAAAAATAAATATTGTTAGGATAAACAAAAAAGGACTTAAAGAAAAAAGAAGGATGAGGGGTGCCATTTCAACCAAAACGTTGCCATTTTGGTTGAGAAAAACTTAATCCGAAAGTTCTTTGACATTTTAAAGAAAACCGAAAACTAAAGTTTAAATTTTAGAGCGCATCATATTCTGAATAAAGAAAAAAATTTAGAGCTCATGATCGTAATAAATTTAACTAAGAGGACGTCCGCTAATAAAATATGTAGTTGAAAATTATTTCTTAATTAATAAGATAATATCCCAAAAAGTTAATTTAAAGGAGAATGATATGAAAAAATAAAAAATAAAAAATATTTGTTACTCATACCTCAACAGCAATGGAAATCCAAGAGAAGCCATATATGATGGCATAAATTACACCTCCATTGTTAATGATATAGTGCTCTGCATAAGTTTCTTGTGTTATACAAATATAAATATTTATCATTTTTTTATTCAGAAAAGATGTATACAATAAATTAATACCACGGATTTTCCCTAATACATGGCAAGAGAACTGCAGATGCTCTAAATAGAACTCAGAAAAAAAGTAACTTAATTCACAAAGTATACATATTATATATGCTAGCACAACATATATAGCACAACAGGCAATTTCATGCTTCCAGAATGAAGTACTCTACCCCTTATCATAAACAGAATTTTACGTGATATATAATGGACCCCGGATTAAATTTTTCAAGATATAAGTATGTTCATTTTTCACGCAATTTTCAACTTCTTGACGACCACTAAATTTTCAGCGAGCTAATAAAATTAAGAAATTTAAACAAAATTGTATTGCAACATCCAGAAAAATGAAATAAAATAATAATACTAAAGAAATCATAATAATAGTTACAACAGGAGATCCCTTTAATATAAACGGATGCGCAGAATACGCGGCGGACAATAAAAGAGCAGAAGTATAGAAAAATTTGTGATTAGGTCAGCATTCATCAACCGCAAAATTAGTTGGCCACCAAATGCATAAACTATTACCAATATTCATGCTTGTTTTATTAAAAGATTTCCTACTGTAATAGGCAAATAACGTTTATTCACCCTAAAAATGAAAATATCATACATAACGACCAAATAAGGTAAAGAGTTCCTGGCCATCGATTCAAGGGAAAAAAAAAAATAGAAGTATGAACATTGCACTTATTTTGAATGAAAAAAAAAAAAAAAAAAACCACTTAATTTCATTCTAACATTTTTAAAAAATTAGTGGAGATGCACGTACGTGATCATGCACGTAAATAACAAACACCAAGGCCAAGCCATTGAACACAAGATGGTTGCAGCCTTTTACTCGAGAACTCTTAACCAATAATTCTCGGCTGATATATGGTATGAATATCAAAAACCATTATTAGTGTGAACTTTTAACTATCATTTTGATTAATTTAGATGCTGTTTAAGTTTAATAAATTGTCTTCCCGTATAATAAAAATGATGTGGGTGATTAAATAAAGAAGCATACCTATCAATCGGCATCAAATATCTGACTAAGGCCATTGGAATAAGTATGCCCAAGAATCAGAGTAACTAAGCCTGGAATGCCTTTAATGACAATTGTTTGTTCTCAACCAATATTCTTGCAAAGAAAGACCTGCATGCCAAACAAAAATAAATAAATAAATGAATAATCGAACATATAAAATTATGTAAACGACAATCACGTTGCAACTGGATTTGGAGGATTTGAAGAAAGAGAAGTTAATCTCTTGGATTTGGTGGATTTGATGTCTTTGGATTTGGAACATATAAAATTATGTAAACTACTATAACGATACAATTACTTGAAGCATTGCATAGGGCCTTAAGAATTTATAGCAAGTAGATCCACAATATAAAACTTTTAACAATTTTTGAAGGAAAGTTGGAGGATTTGATGTCTTTGGTCTTGGCCTTTGTTGGTATCAACCTATTGACATGTGAGGATGCCTTGTTATGTCGAGAGATTTCGACGGCCTCCATATGAATGTTAACTGAACAACCGCGACAAAAGTGAACAAAATGTGTTGAAAACAAATGCCAAAAGAACTTCCAAATAGGAAAAGGCTATACCTCTACTTGTCATGATCATATCAATTTGACTAGTCTTATGTGATTACTATAAGTTGACAACGGAAAAGTCAACAATTTTTTTTTTTTGTTTGAAGCGGGAAACTTACTGCAACGAGATACGTATAAAGAAGACGTAGCATACAACCTCAAGAAAACTATAATTATATCACGTAAGTAAACGCAAAATAGACATAGAATCTATTACTATATAATAGATGAGAGTTTCCGTTTGTGCACTATTCTAAAATGAGACTTTTTCGATACGTTAACATATTAATAGGTTAGATTTTTTATTCGTTGGATTTACATAAAATTATATAAAAGTCAATAAATACACATGTCTAACAATTAAAAAACTTGACTTATCGGTCTGCTAGACGTACAAGAGAATCTTCCTTCTAAAATTTAGTCAATATGCTATTTTGACTTCTTGTGTATTTTATCTTTTCTTAATTTTTCTTTCTTGTTTTTTTTTTTCCTTTTTATTGCCTATTTCTTTTAAAATAGCATATTTTAATTGTCTTTTACAGTACTTGTTTCTTTTACTTTCTACTTACCAAAATAATCTTTTTAGATATGTCTCCACTATTTCAATCTTTTTATAGTTTCTCTTCTATAATTGCCCTTTTAAACTAAATTTTTTAAAAAGAATGAGAGTTTCCCTTTGTGCACTATTAGTTTTCTCTCCCACTAAATTTTAATTGTCTTTTACAGTACTTGTTTCTTTTACTTCCGAATCTCACGGTGTTGAACTAACGATGGAGACCAGTGGATCGTATTGTCATACAACCCTCTCCCACTCATTATTTTGTAAATATGTATTTTGTTTGAAAAACATCTCATGGTTTTCAAATCGAAAAATAAACAATTTATTTTTCAGATATGTGAAATTCTAGAATTTAACTCTTAAATTTAATTTCACATGTAACAGTATTTTGCAAATCAATTTTGCAACTTAAATCAATTTAATCATATTAAATCGATTTTAGCGCATGGTTCTTATTTTATTTTATTTTTCTAAAACCCTTTTATAATAAATAAAATAAATAATAATAAATGCGCGTGTATATATGACGTGTTATAAAACATATGAGTAGGCACATTATATCTATATGGCATGTTACATGCATGGACATATAATATATAACTATCAACATAAAATATAAATATATGCAATCGGCTATTGAGATGGATTTGACCGGGTCCCATGGAAATTATACATAACAACCAAATCGAATAAATAAATAATTACAATAATTATTTTCTTCCGTTACATCAACGGGTCTTCGATTTTTGAACTCTTCATTCTTTGGCTTCGTTCTTCGTCTTCGGGTCAGATTTCACCTTCGTCGGGGTCCGGAACTCTTCCGGGTCTGTTGGCACGCATTACGAGGATTTTAGAAAACCTCGGGTCCATTCGGGGTCCAATTCCCGAATCTGGGCTGCCAGCTGCGCACTCTGGCCGCGCGTTGTGCGCGCCCGCGCGGTC